GCTTGTGAGAATTATGATGACCTGTTCCAAGTGAGACATTTTGTATTGTATGCACACCAATTTATCGTTACCCTTACCGTTGTTCGTATTAGGCAACTCTCCTCCGTCCGGCATTGTCTCATGCTCACATAAGACTACTATAACGGTGATTGGGANGAGTGAATGGTACCTGGAAGCACACGGAATTGGACGATAATTAAGACCGCATTAAGCGGGCATTAGGGTAGTTGTTATTATTCTGTAACTGGGTGAGATAATTTGGGAAGTCAGGAATTAGGCTGGGTGCATTGTTGCAGACTGGAGTGTGAGCGGGGGGAGGGAGAGAGCACATGCCAAAATAGCCTATCCGTTTTGGCGTATGGCGGAGAAATTCCCTCCCGAACTATATGTGCACACACACACGAGACTGGCATAGGCTCATTAAGCGCTTGTTTGTAATAACATTAATGATAGCGTATTAATCGTAAAATTAATCCATTTTGTCTCCGTTCGCTGCACTCACCACGTAGCATATTAATTAACTAGCGCCGGCTGGATAGCTGGCTTAACTGTTTCACATTCAACCAACCAACCAATCCCCGTCCTCCGCCCAACCCCTGTTTATCGTTACGGTTTCAGTCAAAATCCCATATTTTCATCATGTTTACCTCCTCCTGATCCAGATAACTATTAGTATCGACCCTTCTACCGCACTAGGCTTGCTACCTACCTCTCCATACCCTCAGTCCGTCCTTGCCTTGTGCTCTATACAAGCGGATAATGAACAAGGTCGAAGTGCTCAAATTGGACCCCACCTTTATGGTTATCTCTTTCCCTCTCCCTACCCGCCTATTTCTGTGCGTGTGTGTGTGTGTGTGTACGCTTGCGTGCGTGCATACATGTGTTCGTACTCCGATTTTGTTGCTGATACAGGATGAAGAAACTGGCAGATCGCGTCCAATTGATGATAGCGATGCTGACGGTGATGATGAGGCACTGCTGCTGCTACTGCTCCCGATGATGATGATGATCATCATCATCATCATTATGATGAGTTGTAAACTCCTGCATCTCTCTCTCCACCCTTACCCAACCCTAA